TCAATGTGTTTGCATAGCTGACTGAGACAGGGAAGTAATAAACCAAAGTATTAAAACTGATCAGTAATTCTTACCATTTCTTAATGACATCTGTAATCTATACCTTTGAGCCTTTGACAATTCTGCTTTGTTTTCCGCTGCTATAGCATTTAGAAAATAACTCAAAATTTTATACCAGTTGTTAGCTCCTCATGTTTGCCTTAAGACCGTCCAAGACAAAGGCCAACATATCATAAAATAAGAGGCTAGAGTTAAGCTCATAACTCCATATTTAGACTCGCGAGTAGAGGGTTTGAATTTCAGATGAGCAGAACTCACAGTATCTCTCACTGCTTTTAAAAGAAACTCAAGGATTCCTGAAAAATCAAGTCTTTCATCAAAGCGTCAAATATGCACTTGAGATTGTGGCCTCGTCATGCAGATCATGGCACAGGCCCGCAGTGAACCTTGTGTCACTAGTACAGTTACGGGAGGATGGAACTCCTTAATATAGAAGGGGGCCTCATGAGGATATTTGTGCTTTTTCTTTCAAATGACTTTAGAGACAGCTTTGCATGCTGTTAGCCTACTTTAGTCCTAAATGCCATACCTGCCACTGAAGACTTCTGCTGGCCTGTCTACCAGTTAGGGTAACAAAGAGCTCGACTCTTTGTCGACTCGACTCTTCGAGACTCGACTCTTTGGCTCGACTCTTCCAGCAAAGCCCTGTTGTCTCCCTGTGGGCCTGCAGGCTGGTGCAGAGCATAGCCCTGACAACACAGCTGCCTCCACAGGAGAAGTACGTCGCTGGTAGAACTTACTAAAACTGGAAAAGAGTTGATAATAAAGCTGTGGCTGAAAGATGTACTCTTCGGACTAAGCCTGCTCACTGAGTGAGCACAGTAACAGTAATATACAGGTGCTTTGCATTGGCAAGGCTTTCACTTCCAAGAAGAGAGAAAAGTGAAAACAACGGAAGACCTATTTAGACCACTACGATGGAATCCAAACTTTGAGGTATATTGGTATTGACTTAGTTAAGTAAAAAACAACCCGCCTACCAACACATATACATAAGCAGGATAGCTACACAGGCACGAAGCTGTGTAGATCAGACCGTAGCTTAAAGTTTCTTGGTGACTGAAGAAAGGTTGTCAGACAATTTTGTCACGTGACACGATTATACAGAAGAGAAGGCATAAAATGAAATTACGAGGTGGCAGATTCAAAGCTAACAAAAGGAAACACTTCACAAAATGCTTAGCTAAATTCTGGAGCTTGTTGCCAACAGTGCTATGGATGCCAAAAATAGATCTTAAAAAATGATCTGATGAAGTCATGATGGATCTATTAAGGGCTATTGAATAGCAAGATTTTAGGAAGCTTTCAGGAAACCTCTGTACCCATAGACTAGACAGCATACCAGAGAAGTACCATTATATGCTTCCCTTTTTCCTACAGTTTTCTCTAAGCATCTGCTACCAACCACCAATGGAGAGAGGATACCAGACTAGATAGACAGACTTTCAGAGTGATCCACTATGACCATTCTTATTTAAAACCTACTACCTTGGTGTTAATTCACCTTAATGCAGGGGGCTGTTAACTGCAGCAGCTGAGCGACTGCTTCCTAAGCAGCTGAGCCGCCCCTGCAGCCCAGATAACATCTTAGAGAGAAGGCACGTGAGCAGACAGGGAGAGAGCCATGCCAGGTGCCCATTCTTCTCCTAGAGCCAAATCTGTCATGACACACAGGGATATTGGAAGATTTATGTCTTTATTAAAGCCATGTTCTTCCTGAGCTCGTTTATCCAGCTCTGACCTCAGGAGGCCTACATAGGCTAAATGCTTTGCCCAGCCCGGACACAAAAGATTGTGGCAGACAACGATCTTGATGCCAGCACCCCAACGCCTGGTCTGTTCTGCTTCTCCAGTCAGCACATCATCTCCTCGCTAAAGTTTACAGCGCACACGTCACATCAGTAATCGTCGTGGGTATTGGCAGTCCTCTGTGCACAGAAAAACTGAACGTGCCCAGGAATCCTGCTGCTATATCATTTGTTACTGCTTGTATACATAAGACCAAGCTCGGTTTTAGCAAGGAATTTGTCCTGAGCTGTAACACGGATTGGATTTGCGTACACAGGTGAGGTAAAAACATGCAGTAACATGATTAGGAGAAAACTGGGCTGTAACATGACTCCTTGGCACAGAAACCTGCCTGCGTAAATGCCATTTCAGGCATGATAGATGGAGGTGAAAGGAAGCTCTAATGCTAATGCAAAATGCTACTGCTCCCAAACTTCACAGATTGCCAACCACTGCAATGCTTTAGCATTTTGCCTGAACCACTGTGTCCTCTTGTTATGCGCTATTGGTCGTAGTCCGGTCCCTGTGTACAGAAAATCCTTGAGGTCACTCCCCAAGGCACGCCAAATGGAAAGGCAAGTTTCGTTCCTGGTTCTGCTTCTGAATTTCTCATCATTGCTTAGGAAATTAAATAGGCAACATCTCTGTTCCTCCATTTCTCTCCTGTGAAGCAGGGATAACAGCAGTTTTTAACCTGTCAAGAATGCTGGGAGATGCAAGGAAAGCAGTGAGGATCTCGTGGCCTGCAGCACCTGAGCCCCCAGCAGCTGGAGGCAGGCAAGCTCCGTGGAAGGGGCCCGGCAGGCCGAGCTGGGACAAGTTCCTCTCCCGACACGCAGAGCAGGCAGCAGCACCTGGAGCTGCCCCTGCCTGCCAAACACCTCTGGGGTAAGTTGAGGGAAATCCAGATTTGGTCTCTTCCAGCCCCGTCTTAGGAGGCTTGGAGGACCAAGGGCTGACCTGTGGCGTCTCTGGTCTCTGGCAGCCAGGACCCCAACAGAAGGAGGGGACTCTCCACCGCCCATCCGCAAGTCTCTCTGTGTCAGGATCACAACTGCCTTGCCCTGGCACAGCTGCAGGAGTCCACCACTCAAGTCTTCCAGCTCCACTCCGTTGCTGGGAAGAAAGACAATTTGTCACAACTTCCCCGAATAAGGGTACAACTGTGTGTTACAGAACAGCCTGTTCAGCCCCAGGCCACGTGATTATTTCATTTTGTGGTGGGTCTTGGGGGACCTACTTTATCACTAGCTGCACAGGGGCAAACTGTTTCCTATCTTTGATTGAGGAAATAAAAGTCACCAGTGGCAGATTTTCCTGAAGACCTTGGCTGAAGTTCTTCCCCTTTGCATGCTCTCCACTGATTGCATTGTTTTGCCAAGGGTTATTAAGACTCCTCCATTATTCTCTTTATGTGCTGTCAATCAGCCATAGTTGACTGTACACACTGGCAAGCTTTGACTGGCAAGTCAAATATGCAACTGAGATACTTTAATTAAAGCCACATAACATTCAGATATATTCGCTGGGAAAGGGACATGTGAAAGGAATCAAGCAAGCAAGCTAGCAGAATGGGAGGTGGGGGGTGGACCCCTTCCAAGGATTTTATCTGCAGAAAGATCAAATCAAGCTAGAATAATATGCAAGCACACTTAAAAAGAAAACGAACACCGAGACAAGCCGAAGCTAACAACCAGCTAAGCTAGAATAATATGCAAGCACACTTAAAAAGAAAACAAACACTGAGAGAAGCCGAAGCTAACAACCAGCTGTCTCGTTTTTGAGAGTTAAATGCATTAGCTCCAGAGGCAGAAAAGAAAGAAAAAGAATAGGCTTAGGATCTGTGTATCTTCAAACAAGAAAAATCTACACCCACTGGTATAACACCGCAAATCTTCCCCTTCATTTGCATCACAGGGGCAGGTCTATTCACTAAAGGGAAATATCCCTCTATTTGCCAGCTAAAAACACAGGCTTTGTTGCCTGCTGTTGACAAATCTCGTCCTGCCCTTCCGGGGAGCAAACGGCACTTTCTCTCCAGCCCAGCCTAGCCCAGGATTGTTCCCTGGGCTTTGCTGCTTGGGGTATCTGGCTGAGAGCCAGTGCAGGATGCTGGTTGACAGACAGGTAGATTACCTTGGTTTTGGGATGTAGCGAAGAGGAGGGAAGACAACGCCATATTGTTCATAGAGATCTCTCAACAGGGAGAAACTTGTTGAACCAACGCATCAAAAAAGAAAACTTAGTCTTTAGATAGCAGTGATTTTAAATGCGCCTAAGAGAATTAGCTACCAAGATGACCTCAGGGAGCTCCTCAGGGAGCTGGACCCAGTTCCTTTAGGGTGTGTTGACACCAAAAGGGGTTTTCCAGTATATATATACTGCTAGAGCCATAGAAAAAATATTCCAGCAATGAGATGCCATTCATACCAGCAAAGAAGCTTTTTTTTCACTTTCCTAAATAGACTAAGTTGTACAAGTAAGAGGTTTTTTTTTTTTTTTGTAAGCATAATTGAGATTATGCTAGGGCGAGCAGTGATATGAGTTAGATGTTTGTTTTTCTCCCCTATTCTCCCAATACAGCCAGGCAAGCCAGCAAAAACTTCCAATGCAGATTAATCCATATGCACATTATCAACATCATTACACTTTAGCAGGTCACTAAGGGAAAAACAAACCCAGAGAAAAGCATTCACTCCCATATAAAAAGTCACATGGTTCTACTGACGAGCCAACAGTGCTATGGGTTACAGGAAGGTCAAATTTGGTTCTCTCTGATTTTTCTTAATAAGCTGCTAAAGCTATGAATGATATTTCAGAAGAAATAAAGATTGAACGTCATCTGCATTTAGCAGCGAAGAGCCAACATCTTTTGTGGATTATATCGAAACAGATCAAATCAGTTTCAGAGAGGCTTGCACTGATGCAGTAGAAAGCAGAACATCATTGAGGGAATTTTCAAATTCAGGGACATTCCTGAAGGGAGAAGATTGTTATGTGAATAACAAGTTGGTCTAGCTTCCTTTTGTCTGTATCTCTGTAAAAAAAAAGGAACCCACTTCTGAAGTGGTGCAGGTCAGTATAGCTCTAATGGTTTCTTTATAAATTTGCTAATATATTCAGGTCCAGGAGGCACTTCTTCCACATCTAACCTGAATTCCAGATGCCTCCATGGTAAGAGATGAGGTAACTTTATTTATGAGTTTATTTTGGTCTCATCTTTTGGGTGGTAACTCCAGTTCTCCAGTCCTTCATTTAACCTCTCCACTCAGTGGTCTGTCCTCAGACCTCAGGGTCTTAAGGACATCAGTGGTATCAATGGTGCTGCTCCTGCTTGGAAATCTGTGTGAACATTACCAGAAAACACATTTATAACCATGAACTAAAAACACGGTAACATCACCATCAAATCTGCAAACTCAGCAATACAACGGAGAAGTGGAGCAGCCTTCAGAGTGCAAACTAACTCAAAGTGTTTGGATTCCCCAGTGGTAGCTTGTCAGGGATGCATGCACTTGTTCCCACAGTGAGAAAAGGTTACTGGAATCCAGACCAAGACCCAGACCAAAGAGCTTTCTCTCACTGCTTTAGTTGTCTATTAAACAGATATGTAAGATACTGCACTATTATAAGATAGATTTACTCATATGTTTGTTCTCCCTTCTTCCTTCACTGAAAGGTAGAAGGCGCGCATTTCTATCGTCCAGGAGTCAAGGCTGTTTTTGCCTAAATGGAGAGCCAAACAAAGGATCTGGTTTTTCAGTCTTTCAAAGGGGAATGACAGAGTAAGCATATTCTGCTATGATACGACTAGAACGGGCTAAAGGCTATATCATTCTCTGCTGCTGGAGACTCCACTTGGACCCTCTTGGGTCTGGCTGATCTATGATTTAGCTGCTCTTCTGCCAGCTTCCCAACCCCTTCATGTGGGCAATGCGCTGAGAATTCTTCACCAAAGCAGGGAGGAAGAAATAACAAATGCGCTAACTGAGACTTTCTCTAAACCCAAAGACATGATCTACCCTATTTCCTCTAGTGGCGGGCAGCAGGAGTGTGCTGGTCAATATCCACCTGAGAACTTAGTCTTCAGTGTATAGACAAAAATGAGATAAAAAAATTTAGAGATGTGGAGTTCTTAAGTATTTTGAGAAAAGGAGACAGCAACCATCAAAGCCAAGCAGCTTCTGAATACAAGGATGAGCACTCAAAGTGCTGGAGGATTCTTGAATAGAAAATGACACAAAGGATGAGCAGGGTAACAAGGTAATACTATATACTCTATATGCACACGTATAATTTATACTATAAGGTCTGTGCTATCTTTTTAGAAAAGGGCACGTAATGTATGAAGAAAATAAGCAGCTACAAAGCAAGATCCGTATTCATAACTGACTCACCAATATTATTAAAAAAAACCCTTCTATTTTAATTGCAAGAAATATTTTAAAATTTCTTCAGTTTTTTCATTATGGCATCTCAGGCATTCCTAATGGGTCATATTTCAGCTGCAGGGTAGTGTCTCTAGCATTCCATTAAATAATACTTTATTTTGGTGAAGAGAACAAACATAGTCTGAGAACAGACTGTGACCTCCTCCAGCCAAACTTACAAATGCATTCCTACAGCTTTTATCTGGTGTTGCAGTCTGCTGAAAAAATAGTAATATCACATATTATTATATATAGGATTATTAAAGTAATCATAAAATACGGCATACTGTTTGATTTTGTTATGAAAACAACTAACAAACCTCTCTGATTGACCAAAAACATCTTTGTCTACATGACATCTTTGTCCACTCTCCGACTGACAGAACACATCTTTGTCATCAGCACCATTCCAGGATACTTTATTCTGGATTTTAACCATAAACTCAGGAATGTCTGACACGACTATAAATAATTCAGCCTTGACACATAGTTTCCAAAAGATTTAGTCTCAGCTATAACGCAAGCTAAAGCAACGTGCGGTGGCAGGAAAGAGAGAATGTGAACCATACTCTAACCCTGCTGTAACCATTTTCTTTACCTGAGTGGTTTTACAGTGAAGATGGCACTTCTGAGGCAATATCTTTGTGGGAAAATGCACCCAGTCCTTCATGGAAGAGCCAACGCCAAACAGTTAACGCATTCCCGGCCCAAAGAGATTTCCTCTCCACAAGTCCTGGTTCACTGTGGGCAGGATGATCCCAGACGACACATGTATGGGCCGTCTCTCCCACTGGAATACACTGCAGAAAATAGGAGTCAAAAAAAAAATAACTTTGGTAAGAGGGGCAGGAAGGTGGGAAGGCAGCCTCTGCCAGGGATACATGGAGCAGGACAACAAGGCATAGAAGCAGGGCTCATGGAGAACATTTTTACTCTCGGCCACAACATCAGGGCCTCAAGACAAAAGGACTTCCAAAAACGGAAGGAAATAACCCAGCTCAGCCTTGTTCTTTCAGCTGAGTAAGACCTACACACAAGATGCAGTTGAGATCATTTAAAATCCATCTTCAATTAAATCTTTCTAGGAAATTTCAAAGAAGATGACCAAGTCCCAGCTCATGTCTCAGGATCTGATTTTCTGCCCATTCCAAGGAGGATTCCTTGGCTTAGTTATGAGCTGCAGAGCAGCAATCTCTTGCTGAAACCTTGCCTGGAAGAAGAAAGGGGCTAGCTGTCCTTACCCAATGCGTTTTTCATGATTTCATGCCAGTGCTCAGAGCAAGAGGAACATAAGAAGCTGTTAAGTCTTGGATCCATACATCTCTGGCCTCCTGCACGGCCAGACCCTGTCTCAGCCCCATGCGTGCGCTGTTGCTATGTGACGTGCGCAGCCACTGCACTGTCCTAACTGCTCTGCATTGAGGCAAGATCTCTGTCAGCCACGGTAAAATGCCTCCATGGGGAAGCAGAGCAATTTCCAGCACCATCACCTTTCCTTCTGGAGCTCGAGGAGAAAATGCTGCAGAAAGTGACTCTTCCCTTGGTTTCCTCCATGACCCTTTAGGGCAGCTTGGGACAGCAAAAGAGAAAAGTGATGCCTGCTAGGACAGTCATTTTTCTACAAAAAGGGCACTGCCCCCTTACAAACCCATCCATAGCACCACATTTTGCCTAGGGCAGTGCTGCACACTGACCCTACGCACACGTGGCTGGAGGCCCATGTAAAGCCTCTGTCCTTCCATGTGGCCATACAGAGGCACCTAACATGCATGGGATCTGTGCTGCTGTTCAGTGAGTCACCCAGGGGGGCCCACAGCACGTTCAGTACTTTCTCTTTTCCTCTCACTCCAAAGCCCCAGTGTCTTTCTGCCACGATGCATCAGCATGGGGCCCTTCTATCTGGGCATCCCGCTCACTTGCCTGCACAGCCCTCCGCAGGCAAACAGCCTTCCACGGCATGGGGTGCCGCAACAATCCTGTTGCTGGTGCCCTGAGAACATGCCAGAGGAACAGCCCCAGGGGCTAGAGCAGCTTTTTCTGGCATGCGCTCCTCCGCTGGGAGCAAGGCACACCAACCAAACTGGTTACACCAGCACTGGTGTCCTCCCAGCCCCTGCACTGAGCTCGCTGGGACACAGAGAGGCCTCTGAAGAGATGAGGTGCAGGGACGGGACCCACGGAGCAGCTACAGCTCCTTCTTGGGTGTTAGCCACATAGCACCTTTACTCGTATGGTTCAGGGCCAGGCGCTCGGGCAGGTCACTGGCATGTCAGGCTGAAGCTGTAGCAGGCTGTAAATGTATGCATTCCATGTATAATTAAGAAAGAGCCATCTAAGGAACAAAATGTGAAGAGTGGGAAGAGTGCAGCTCTCTCTCCTGAGCTGTACCTATCCCTATCTCTTCCTTTCTCCAAGAGGAGTAGTGTTTCGACACCCTGCTCGTAACAGCCTTCAGTGATCTTTCAGCCTTGGTGACCTTTCCAAAGACCCAGTAAAAACTGCCATGTCTCCCACCTGGTTTTGTTAGAACTTCTCTCGCTAGCATAGATGAAAGTCCTGTCCCCTTCTTTCCTTCACATCTCCATCCTGTAGGCCAGGATCATGCAGTCCTCTCATTTTTCCTGTCCATTTTTCCTGCTTTCTCCTGTTCCATTTTCTCCTCATTTCCCTATTCTACTCCTTTACTTTTTTCTTGCTCCTTTTCCCCAGTTCTTAGGGAAGGTAAAGCAAAGATTTCGGCTGTGGACTCCGTAGGGCTGGGACAAACGCGTTTCTCGTGGGGACAAGGTCCACAGAGAAGAAATGAAGCCTGACTTAATAAGCTGATGACCAGGCATTTTTGGGGCCAAGCTTTTCCGAGAACTGACATGGTAGGTGGGTGGAAAGCAGGCGGCTTTCAGAGAGACAGCAGGTGTTTCACCTAAGGCGGCAAAAAGCATGCACACTGGGGCCAAACCGGATCTGGGGCTCCAAGCTCTCTTGGATTTTCCAGCACTTCCTCCACTTCTATTTCTGATTTTGTCAACATGAGCCAGATACCAGCTCTTCAGGCTGAAAGACATCTGACTTATACTAAGGAGTGGGCTTTGCCTGTCAGTTGCTGTTTGTCACTGTTTTTCCTCCTTGTCCTCAGAGAGTAAAATACATTATCTTTCATTTGTGCTTGCAGCTGATTAGGGTTTCTCTTTGGTGAGAGACAGTTGCTTTACTCAGAACTCCTGAGTAGATGTAGAGCAGATGGCTGATACGAAGGGAAAATTTCTATAATGGGGGAAGGAGGACAGTATTTTGCTTCACAACACCAGGTCAAAGCCCTTCTCTTGAAACAAAGGCTCCTGGGTAGTGATCCACTTACTTTTATGCTTGTAGAAGAGCTGTAACATAAATATTATTGAATAAACTGAATTTATGCAAGCATGCAGTTCCCACTCATATCTGTCATATTATTGTCACAGTCATGCCTATCACCCCCTCCCCCCTTTTTGGAAAAGGTGATTGTATTCAGAAAGAGAAAAACATCCTCTGAGCATGAACGACACAAAATGCCAAGATACTTTGCTCACGCTTGCAACACACATGGCAGCACTACTTTTGTCAATGCATCTGCCTTGGCCTGCAGCTCACCTAGTACTGGCTATTGTGCAAGTGCCTTCTGGAAATCCCAAAGCTTTTTTCACGTGCAGCCAGTAGGGGACAGAAACTGGGTCAGGTTCTGAGTGCCAATCACTGCTCCGGAAGAAAAGGTGTGAGCAACTGACTGAGCCAGTGTGACGGTGATGCCTGCCATTTCCTTCCCACGCACCAACCATCTGCACTGCAGCAGTATCCCAAGGTCTCAAGAATAAGCCCTCAGATGTTCAGGCTAGGGAGGCACCTAGATAGGAAGGTTTTGGCTTTAAGCTCCTGATTTAGGCGGTTCAGGTTATGGCTGGGTGGGAGCTAATGACCTACTACCTGGGAGCTTCAGCCCACACTGCTGGAGTGCCTGAGACAACCCCAGCGGCTCACAAGATGAACTGCGTAAATATTGCAAACAACGCGTGTCCCAAGTCGCCACTTGTTGCAACACTTTTGGGGATACAATCTAAATCCGTGCATGTACGTTGTGACAACGGGGTGATGAAAGGGCTGGGAAATCAAATTGCATTGTGGATTGTCTGGGTGCCTACAGCATGCTGTAATAGCCTCTTCACCTCCCTTTGCTACTCCCGTTGACCTTGACTTTAGCAAGAAGGCTGCCAGTTTAAATCACACACAGACTACCAGTGCTTAGCTGGCAAATTCCCACCAGCAACTGTTGGCAGTCTGAGGTAAATGAGTTTTAGCCCTCAGTAGTTCATCTCCTAGTTGTAATGGGCCCAAATTAGCTGTGCTGTTATGGGGCTAAGATCTGAACAAGCAATCGAAACTGCTCTAACCCAAGAGAAAGCACATGGATTTGGGAGGCTTTGGCTTAAATGCTTGCCTGTCCACAAACCTGTCGTGTAACCATGCCCAAATCACCTAGCCTTTCACCCCCCCCCCACTTTGCTTCACTAAAACCGGGGTCAGAACAGGTTCGGCAGCATAGCGGGGGCCAGTACTCTGGGACCTCTGTGTAATTTGGCAATTACAGATGGTGGGCACCCTAGAAGGGTCCACCAGAAAGAGTCAGTCAGTGCCGACACCTGGGCCTTTCCTACAGGACTTCATCTGCACTCACTTGGACACGAGGACCTGGGCCACCTACAGCAAACGCAGGACACGGACGCTGGGTCCACCCCTGCCTGTTTTCTGTCCCCCTGTGGATAAGACAAGGCTTCGGGCTCCAGGGCCATGAAAAGGTTACTCTAATCAATGCTAAATTCACATTAAAAGCACATCATCAGGTCTTTTCTCAGTGCCTCCCTCCCCACAAGTGCATGAAATGCCTTGCAAGTAACAGGTCATACCTAAGGATTCTTGAAGATGTTGACATAGACATCCTTGTTTAGAGAAGGCTGCTGCTGTTAGGGCAACATGTATCCTAAATACTTCCATTGCTATATACTGCCTGCCTGGTCCCAACCACTCTTGTCCTGCTTCACAGCCTCTCTCTCACTTGGCACTCTGCAAATGAGGTCAAACGCTGTAGAAATGGTTTGCCGCACTTTTCCTGTTTATGATAAAAAGCCTCAAATGAAAGCATTTCTCAGCTCATATAGTCAAGCACTATATGAGCAAAGACGCCTAAGCTGCAGTGTTAAATTAAAGCAACTGTTGAATAAAATGCTGCTATCAAGGGACCAGGTCAGCACAGGTCTGTGAGGTAACCTTTCTTTTCCATAAGGCCTGCAATGCCTTCCTCTCGTAGATCTGAATGGTGGATTCAGTTAATGATAATTAATGACTTTCATTTACCTGGTACCTTCCACTCCACAGCAGTTGTCTGGCTGTGAATAGCAAGGCTATACTTCTAGCCCTGTACTGCTGTCTGGCTAAGGAGAAGGCTGTGTAATCTACTTGAACTGCAACCAGCGGGTACAGAAGAATTGAGGGAAGGGGGACTAAGTCATAACATTTGGGACTTGGCAAGGATGCAAGGTTAACACAGCGTAAAGAAAAAATAAATCCATGAGATTAGAACTAAAACACAAAGAAACCAGATCTCAGCACTACACATCTCACTCAAGACATAGTCAGTAGCACAGATTTTTCTAGCACTGCGATGGGCCGTTCATCCTTGACATATAAGATTGCCACCTACTGACCAATCCTCCCTACTTTAGGTGATGCCCTAGGAACTGACCCTTCTTTCTAAGACTCTCCATTTCCCCGTCTC